TCCAGATTCTGTTTCTCCATATACAGTTGGAATTCCGGGGTATTTTCCCCATCATACAGTGCTGGAAATCCGACCTCATCAACAGGGGGGTGCAGATATAAACTGGAATGGCCCATTGGATGTACTTATTAGGGAGGTAATGCACTACTGATATGTCATTTAAAACGTTTATTCATTTCCTTCACTTGGCCCCACATTTATTACGACTTTCACTTAAAACTTCTTTTTTTTAGAAATTATCAAATCTGAAATATTGTGCTTTTCAGGAAATAAATTCAAAATATATTTATAAAATGTTCACATTCAAAATGAGTGTCTGTCTTTTCTTCTTCGTTGACCAATCACAGAACTGCTTGGCATGCTTGCATAGTATTACAGCATGTCAGCCAATCAAATACAATAGTGCCCATTTGTTTTAAAAAGTATACTCTCATTCACTGTATAGGTTCTATTGATGTAAAATTTTCCTTTAAATACAAAATGATATTATATTTAGAGCATTTATCATTGTGGTTGTCCAACAAGCTCATATGGAATTCCCTAATTTAGATGATATTCATAATTTTCAATGCTAAGAAGAATAAAATGTTTTTTTTTGAAAAAATCTTCGAAAAATTATTAAAATCTGAATAATTAAAAAAAACAAGACTTAAAATGTTGGGGGAGGATGAAATACTAAGACTATTTTCATTTATGTGAGAACACATACTGTTTGAATGTTTTTTACCAGTCATATGTGTGTATTTGAAAAATAACCATTTAAATTATTAAAATGTCACTTTAATACAAGAAAAGAACCACAGCAAGCATGAACAAATGCCCCCACCCCACCCACCAAGCAAAATACTACACAAAAAAACTCAAAATTTCAAATTGTGAATCTGCCAAACTATACTTTTTATGTGTGTGTCCTCCATCCCTGAATGAGTATAAAAGCAGTCAGTGTACAGTTGGAGAGTTAGTTTGCAAGGATTTTTAGAGCATCCTGTTGTTCTGTGATGAAAGAAAACCATTAACTTAACATGTTTGGCATACTGATTATAGAACTCATTAATAGCCACTGACTCTAATTCTGGTGTAACCAGCTCAGACCATTTCCTGGCTTTATAGGTAAGAAATTGCACAAAAATGATATTACATTGGTTTTCACTTCATTTGAGCTGATAAATAATAATCAAGGTCCATTAGATAATTATATTTCATTAAAAGTGATGTTGTCATGGAAACAACATGTAGGTGATAATATTTGGTGTATTTTTATCCCACATTGACATTGTTATAAATATTCTAAGTCTTTGTTGATATACATATGTAAACATTAATGGAAAAATATTCAGTGTTTTCTTTCAATTAATTTTACAATTCCTGTACAAACATATATGGAAATTTGAACCTTCATTCAGGAAGTGAATGTTGAATTGCTTTTGTCATTTGCTTTGCAGTGTCACTACCGGTACTTTCTAGTGTATTTTTATAGTTTGCCCAGCTTTTTCAGATATGAATGAATCTGCAATTCTCAATTGATATTTGAATCAGATTTGCAAACTGCACTTATTCATGTAATGGTGTCCAAAATAATTTTGAATAGGTTTAATAAAGTTGTTCATTATACCTGTATATATTTTCAATAAAAAAACATTGCAAATTTATTAAATTGTTAAAATTTTCAAAATGTTTTTATTTTGGCCAAGAATTATGCCATATTAATTATTCCAATCATATTTCCAATTAGTATTAAATAAATAAATATGAATGACAAATAGTAAATTATTTTTTCTAATATTTTTAAGAATTCATTCAGATTCTCATAGACAAATTCCTTCACTGGGCGTTACGACTTCATATCTGCTAAAGGTTGTAATAGTGAATCTGAAACAGTTGATTGAAACTGACAGAAACTTAAAAACTACACAACAACACAATGTTCTATATTTGATAATAGATAAATTCGCTTCATACTAAAACGAGGTTTTGCTACAAAATTATTATCAAACTAATGAGTTGAGACAGCACAGGTTGATGCTACTACATGTACCACTGTCTGAGGGACTTTTAGCTCCGCTGTTGACTTAGTCGAGTGGAGCTTATCATATGAGTGATTGTCCATCAGCGTCTGTCGTCGTCCATGTCAACTTTTACTTTTTTGACTTCTTCTTGAAAACTACAAGCCTGAATGCTTTGATACTTGGTGTATATGTACCTTGGGTAGACCTCTCTTAGATTTGTTCATTTCATAGTGATATTTTTAATTCTGTAATTTTGATGAATATTTTTGGTAAAAAGTGATATTTTCGACTTCTTGTTGTAAACTGCACTTCTGATTGCTTTGATATTACATATATAGGTACTACATGTGGACCTCTCAGATTTGTTCATTTCGTGATGATCTTTTATTCTTTAATTTTGATGAATATTTTTGTCATTTTTGGTAAAAAGTGACATTTTCAACTTCTTGTTGAAAACAGCAAGTCTGGTTGCTTTGATATTATTTATTTAGATACTACATTGAGACCACTCTCAGATTTGTTCATTTCGTGATGATATCTTAAATTCTTTAATTTTTCCGAATATTTTTGGTAAAAAGTGATATTTTCGACTTTCGAAGTCTGATTGCTTTTATATTATACATATACTAGTAGGTACTACATGTGGACCTCTTAGATTTGTTCATTTCATGATGATATCTTCATTTATCTAATTTTAATAAATATTTTTGTCATTTTTGGTAAAAAGGGATTTTGTTTAAGTTTAGTACATTCTTTGAACGCCACATCATTGTGTTTTTCAGATCAGATTCAATTGATAACTGACGGCCATTTCTTTTTTGATGAATGCATTTCAGAAGCATATCTCTAATATGCCTTGACCAATTATGTTCAATCTTGAGAAATACATCATATATCATGTCACACACATGCAATTTGTTCTGCAATCTAATACAAGATACATGTACCTGAATGATGTCAAATTCGGCCATTCCAGAATAGCACCAAATCAAACTTTACATATGTCAAGTTCAGATTCAAAATAATTGACTTACATATTTATACAATGTACCATGCTATTTATGAGTTTATTGGCAAGGTCATTTTTGATTTACTTATGGCGTTAAAACAACTTTTTATTTAGCTTATTGACCCGTCACCTTCCGCTTGTGTTACTCCTTATTATTATACATCTGTCACCCTAACGCCATAAGTTACAGCGTGTCGTAATTTTGCGGTATTTTACGGGGTATTTTCATCCTACCATATAAGGAAATGCGAATACCATATATGGAGCGATTACGTGTGTGAGCGTTCTCTAATAATAAAAACAAACATGGCTGCCACCAGGGTTTGACCAGACTCCACACAAAGAAGTTCGCTAAATCTGTTCTAAACTTTTGGGATTTCGGCATTCCCATGATGTATCCTTGGAAGGAAAAGATGCTGTGCGTCGGTCAATACTCCCGCTGTACTGTCTTCATGCATACTTTGAGGTATCCTCGTATTAACCTCATATTAGCAAGATAAATTTTAAATTATTGAAGATGACATAGTGTTGAACTGGATTGCCTGTTTTAATTTTTATTAGCCCCATCTGAAAGGATGCTGATAATTTAGGTTGCTTATGTCAGTACTTCGTCCATTCACTCTTGTATCTCTAACATTCATACATCAATTTCACTTAAAGTTGTTTTGTGGGCAGTGTATTATGGGTAACAGGGGTATGTGGTTTACATTGATTTATCAATATTAAGTGAGTCTTTTGAATAAAAATAGAAAATGTTATTATTTAATGTTTAAAAGACGTTTTATGTACATGTAAGTACATGATGTTAGATTATAGGTTTCACACCGCAATTATAATTTGTATCAAAGGTCCCGGTGACCTGAATGTGATTCTCTCTATTTTGAAAATAACTTTAGGCAAAAGATAGCATGCTTGTATAGTGTGAATCAGGTGTTTTTGTAATGGCAGACTGATACAGCCATTGACACTTACATTTTTGTTTCTGGTCTGTTGCTACCAACCCCAAAAATTGACTTGCCAGCCCAACAATTAGATAAGACTAGGCAATTATTGAT